ATTTTCTTTCCTCGTGAATTTTATTTTAAATCGTTAAGGTTAAGGTTCTTCGCATAAGGTTACTTTGAAGAAAAAGTAGCAGAGAAAGAGAAACAATAAAAAAAATTGCTAAAGGATTTAATTTCTCGAGGCATAAATTCCGTTAATATAAACCTAAGCTATTTATATTAAAAAATGGACAAAGACCAAACCTGATAAGTTTTTGAATACTTAAAGAACTAAAATCGGTAACTTTATAGTTAAGGGACTAAAACCGGTAAGTGTATAGTTAAGGAACCATTTTAGACCTACTCTTATAGTTAAGGGACTATTTATGTCACTTTCCCTTAAAAATACTATAATACCCCTAACTAAAAACACTCAGTATAGTATATCTTCTATATTTTATATTTCATATTTATATACAAAGGGTTGTGAATTTTCTGAAAGGTTGTGTTTTGCTAATCAAGCACAATAAGCACATGTTGATACTACCATTTGTAATTGACTATAAATAGAGGAGTTTTCTATCAATTTTGAATTATGAATGTTTATACTCTTCTTCTTCTATTAAAACCTCAAGTGTGATCTACAGTCATTGAGTGGGTTTGTAGTTCAACGGAACTTGAGGTATACCACTATTTCGCTGAAGTAAATCATATTGTTTTTCAATTATTATTTTTTTGCATTTTGAAGGAATATTTTGACGCAACTGTTGATTGATCTTAGATATATCACATATGCATAATTTAATATACACACGAAATGCATGTATCGAGAAACTAGTGTATATAAAGAGAGAAGAATCCCCTGAACACAATATTGGAGGTTGTGTTCAGATTCCATATAATTTTTATTTTCCAAACGCACCTTAATAAAAGGTCTGAATCTATCGCTATAGTTATAGTCAGAAGCTATTTAACTTCTTTTTTTTTTTTTTTTGTCTTTGGGATAGATAAATAATGTAGGTACACAGATAGGTAAGCCAGCTACAGAGTACACTGAGGAGGTTTACTCTATTATCATAAAAACCAATTTTGAAGCTTCTTACCACATCTCTCAAATTGCACACCAAATTTTGAAGGCCTCAGGAAGTGGAAGCATTGTCTTCATCTCTTCTGTTGTGGGGTTTGTGGGATTTCCAGCAAGTTCCATCTATTCAGCAGCCAAAGGTAATCCTTAATCAATCAAATATGTTATTCGATATTTGTATTGACGTTCAATTAAATTTAATATCGCGCATTACATGACTTAAAGTATCTAGAATAATCTAGTGTAGTATTTGCAATAATCATCTTAATAGAAATATCTAAATATTCTAGAGTAAAAGATAAAGTTACTAAAAGAAATTTCTAGTAGCTAGAATAATTTCTAGAAGTACCCCTACACAAAGTATAAATAGATCAGGGGCGATCTTATTCATTTGTAATCAAGACAATTCAAAGCAATTGAGTAAGCCTTCTTCCGCAACCAAGTTATCCTTTTCAAAATCCTCATTCTCTTTTTTAGTTGAATCTTTCGATCTTATTTATCGATCTTGGGCTAACAGAAGATCTCCCCTATTATACTTTTCTTCTGATATTCTCTTTACAACCTATTTATAGGGTTGTCCTTCCAATGAAACTTTTTTCGTTCTTAGACTGAAACTTGAAATCTCTAATTAAGGATGAGGATTCTGGTCATTCTATCACAATCATGCTAATATATACATGTTATGTGTATTTGGCGGAGTTCGACATAACTCATATTTTATAGAAAAAAATTTCTGGTGTCCCAAAAAAAATTAAATATGCATTAAAGATTAGTAATAATATTAGCAAGTCGGAGATTGTTTTGATAAAGTGTTTCAGTATTAAAGATAAATAATAATATCAAAATGTTAGTTGAAAATTTGAAATAAGGCAAGTTCAAAAGGAAAATGGCTTCTGCCTATAAAGGAAGTCACTTTTTGATATATATATTTTCAGAAAAATATTTTCTATCAACGAATTGCAATAAAATGATTTTTTGATAAAAAATATACTTTTAAAAAATGACTCTCATCGTATCAAATATATTCTTTAGGCTTCAAAGATGATAAGGGAGCAAAATGTAAGCTTTATTCAATTTATTGATCCCATTAATTAGAATATTTTTGTGGGCAGTGAGCCAGGGATAGATAGAGCCCTAACGTGCCATCAATTAGGAATAGATAGAGCCCTAAAGTGTCATCAATTACTAAAAACTTCAAAATTATCATCTCAAAAATATTTATCTTTCCTAATGTTGCATTTTTTTTTACTTAAGAACGGAAGGATTTTATTTAGTATATATATAATATCATTCATTACAAAAGGAACTAATTTATATGTAGCAGTTTCGGTAGCATCTCTAGCTAGTGCTAAGTTACAAACGATGGAGATGCATCAAAAACATTTGGTTGATTTTCATCCATGTGATCCTTTGATATCCTTCCGCAGGTTGCTAGAATGTCTGCTACCATATTAGCCTCCCTCGGAACATGCTTCATTGTCTAGCTTTCCATCTCTAATAGTAGCGACCTACAATAGTGTAGATGTGTGAAAATATCGGGTTGTTACTATTAAGGGTATTCAGTAATACCTATGAGTCAGTTTCCACCAGCAATTGCTTAATATTTTTCCTTTGTGCTTAACATATCCCTAGAGACCTACTCCATTGGAATCATATGCTTTGGAGGAATGGCTTTAATGGAGTAATGTTGCATTTGATATATTAAAAATGTAATATATGCAAGCTAAAGTAAAATTACTAGTACCATTACACAAAATTATTTTTGTATTTTTTTCATGTTAATAGGAGCAATCAATCAACTTACAAGGAACTTGGCTTACGAATGGGCTAAAGACAATATTCGAGTGAACGCAGTAGCACCTTGGATTATAAACACACCCCTCTTCGAAGCAATGAAGGTAATTTACTAGCTAGGAGACTTACAAATTTTTCTTTGTGGAAATAATTTATTATACTCATGATTTGAATTATTAATCGTTAAAAATCCTAACAATCCTATGTATATAAACTTAAAAATCCTCTAAATGGAAAAATGTTTTTTTCTTCAAAAACCTAGCCATTATTTTTAAAGGAAAAAGGGTCTAATATACCTCTCAACTTGTCATTTAGAGTTGATATACCTCTCGTTAGAAAAGTGGCTCAGATATATTCCTACCACTATAAAAATGGCTTACATACACCCGACTGTTATAAAGTGGCACACATATACCCTCTTATCTGATAGAAGTAAAAGAAAATCAATTTTGAACTATTTTTCCAAACATGATTATTTTTTACTGCTTTGATTATCGTTGTTTAAGTTTCTTATTCTTATTTTATTCTTTACGTAAAACTATGAAGAAAAAAAGATCTGTGAATGGAAAAAATAGAAAAATTATACCAATGTGAACGAAAATGTTATGCCTAAGGGCGGAGCTAGTTTACGAATTACTGATTTAGTCAAACACGATAACTTTAGTTAAAATTTAGTATTTGTCACAAAAAAATTTTGTTGAATATGCATTGATTATTAATTTAAAACTCAATTATTCAAATGAACTAGAATTCCAAACCTCTAAACTTTTAATCTTGATTTCGCCTCTGATCACTTATGTGATTACTAATATTTAATCTAATTTTTGTTCCAGCACAATCCATTAATTAAAGAACTTATGGAAAAAAATATTAGTAGAACACCAATTAGCAGAGCTGGAGAACCAAAAGAAGTTTCAGCAATGGTGGCATTTCTTTGTTTCCCTGCAGCTTCATATATTACTGGTCAAGTTATATGTGTTGATGGTGGACTCACAATTAATGGTTCTTCCTAACTATTTTATTTTATGTGTTAAATAATAAATAATGTACTTGATTGATATGTAAGATGAACCTTTTTTTAATTAGTTTAGTTAATTTGGTCAAGATGGGTTGAGTTACTTATGCACTAAACAACGTTAGTATTTAACAGTAATAACATAATTGTCGTTATATTATATTTAATGATAATAATAAATATGAATAGTTATTGTATGCTGCCTTCACGTGCAAGGCATGTGTTGTGACCACATATATAGATATGATATATAGAAATTTAATTGAGAAAACAATTTGCAATACTCTCTTGTTAAATATTATTTGTCATTCTTATTAAAAATAGATGATCATTTTTTATTTGTTTTCTGCTATTTTAAAAAGAAAGGAGTATTAAATAAAAAATAATCTAGTCAAATTATTCTCTAATTATAATTTTTGGCTTTGTTCAAGAATCTATTGCATATGAATAGGCTCTTCCTTACGCCTTCAATGAGGAAGCGATTTTTTTTCAAAATTCCAGAAAAAATAAAATAAAATTATTTTCGTAAGGCAAGAAAATCGCTTAAAGAAAATAAAGTCTATCCACACTAACCAAATCTTTTGAAAAGGATGATAAGTATTTAAAAACATCGAGTTTTAATTAATATTGCCTTAGAAGAACAGAAAAAAACAAGAAGATAATAAAGAGCTAGAGATCCATTGTGGTTTCAGGACGGCCACATATATTTTATAAAATTCATTTTATATAATTTACTTCCATTTTTAGTCCGTCTCAAAAAGAATGATATTTTTCTATATCAAGTAACAATTTAATTTTAAAATGCTTATTTTATCCTTAGTGAAATGATTTATAGTCACACAAATTTCTATCACCACAAATTTTAAAATTTTCTTTCATTTCTTAAATTTTGTGCCGAATCAAAATACCTCACCTAAAATGGGACTGAGGGAGTACTGTATAATAGTAATTGACATGACATACTAGCTAGCCAACAAATTTGTGACTATTGTAAGTGCATGTCACAAACTTAGCAATATTACACAGCTGTTATTGGACCACTTTTTCATGACCCCTTAGCACATTTTGTCACCTATTTAGAACAAAAATATGTTTGCATAATTCCTATTCAACTTAAGTTAAAGCAAGGACCATCATCAATGGCAGAAAAAAATGAATCCAATAATAGTGAAGATGGAAGGTGGACTCTTCAAGGGAAAACTGCCCTTGTTACTGGAGGCACTAAAGGCATAGGGTAAACTTATTTGAGTTTTAAGTGTTTTCATGTATCTATCGATTTTACTTGTTTACCTTCCTCAGTCGGTATACATTGATTATAAACATATTATATATGAATTACGTAAATGTGTTATACAGTTATTGGCTATTAAACCTAGTTAAATTATATACACACTATTCTTCTCAGACCCCACTTATTGTATTGGATTTATTATTTTATTGTTTTTGATATTATTTTTCTTTTGTTTGGGTAAAAAAATAGGCATGCCATAGTAGAAGAATTAGCTGGATTTGGTGCTACAGTTTATACATGTTGTAGAAACCAAGAACAACTTGATGAGTGTTTAGAGAAATGGAGAGGCAAAGGTTACAAAGTAGAAGGATGTGTATGTGATTTGACTTTGAGACCCCAAAGAGAGATGCTTATGGAGAAGGTTATCAATTTTTTCCAAGGAAAGCTCAACATTCTAGTAAGTTTTTTTCTTAAAAAAAGTCTTCTTTATTCGAAAAATGCACAGTGACTATATCATGCCGTTATAACAGTCTTAGGGAATTTTACTATTTTCTTCGTTTCAATTGATGTGATGCACTTTAATTGAGTTAGAAGTTTAAGAAAAGAAAAACCTTTTAAAACTTCTAGTTAGGGCGAGTGGCGTAGCGATATATCTAGATTCAAGAGTAACTACTTGAACAATCTTTATCGAAAAATTATATTGTGCATATAGAAAATAATATTGTATATATATGTCAATTTTTTTTTAGAGATATATATTAAATTTTGAATACATTTAGCAAAATTTCTAATTTCACCACTGATCATGGTCGAGGCGAAGCCCGATAGGAGCAAAAGGTGCATCCGAACCTCCTGAAATAAAAATTACACCATATGCACAAGGTTAATACTATTATTTACTATGTATATTTAGTAGACATTGATTTCTTTTGTTTTCTTCATATAATTACTTCTTTATATTTATGAACATCTTTAATGAAAATTCTAGTTCAGCTACTATTTGTGATAGACTAATGTATAAGCCATCGATATTTTTGCGACTTAAAGTTATCTCATTAAAATAAAATAAAATTTTAATACTAAGTTATTTTTAAAATATTCTAGAATATTAAATGAAAATAAAAGTACATCGTATAAATAGAGACAAAGAGAATACATATTTCGTCTGTTTTAAAATTTTGAAATTTACCTTGAAGTTTTAAGTTCACACTCCATGTATTATATTTTTATTTTTTAAATTTCCTTAATGAAAATTTTGATTTTGTGATTGCGGCTATAACCAGAAGATATCTAAACTTTATTTTCTTTTATATAGATAAATAATGCAGGTATACTAATAGTTAAGCCAGCTACTGAGTTCACTGAGGATGATTACTCTATTATCATGAAAACCAATTTTGAAGCTTCTCATCACATCTCCCAAATTGCACACCCAATTTTGAAGGCTTCAGAAAGTGGAAACATTGTCTTCATCTCTTCTGTTGCTGGGCTTGTGGCATTGCCAACAAATTCCATCTATGCAGCAACTAAAGGTAATCATCATTCAATTGAGGTTCGATTAATTCAAATCCGCGTATTATAAGACCTATTTATAAGGGTTGTGCTTCCAATGAGACTTTTTTCATTTTCAGAACTCGACATTTTAATATTTAATTTCAAATGATTTGAAATGTTAGAATTTTTTGTGGACAATGGGCTAGAGATAGATAGAGCCCTAAAGTACCACTAATTACTAAAAACTTTAAAATTATAATCTAGAAAATAAGTTATCTTTCAAAATCTTGCATTATTTGATATATAAAAAATGTAATAGATACAAGCTAAAGTACAATTACTATTACCAATATACACTACTAGAAAATATGGAATTAATTTAATCCCCAACTAGTATGTGATTTTTATTGTTTAACTATAAAATTTTATTTGTCGCTAATTCCTTGAGTTCTGATATAAAATTCTTTTGAATTTTTTCATGTTAATAGGAGCAATGAATCAACTTACAAGGAACTTGGCTTACGAATGGGCTAAAGATAATATTCGAGTGAACGCAGTAGCACCTTGGATTATCAACACACCCCTCATCGAAGCAGCGAAGGTAAAATACCATGATAAGAAAATTAATTAATCTGACTCAATCCTAAAATTTAGTTTATGACGTGAAAATTTCCCTAATAAATATTTTTGAATGATAGGTGAACGAAATATTATGCGATTGCTAATATTTAATCTGATTTTTGTTCCAGAAAAATCCATTAACTAAAGAACATGTCGAAAAAAGTATTAGTAGAACACCAATTTGTAGAGCTGGTGAACCAAAAGAAGTTTCAGCAATGGTGGCATTTCTTTGTTTCCCTGCTGCTTCATATATTACTGGTCAAGTTATATGTGTTGATGGTGGACTCACAATTAATGGTTCTTTTTAACTATTTTATTTTATGTGTTAAATAATAAATAATGTACTTGATTGATATGTAAGATGAACCTTTTATTAATTAGTTTGGTGAAACCATGAATTTTTTATGTTCTAATTAATTATATCATATAATTGTTCACATGCTAGGCATGTTCTGTGATCACAACTATAGATCCATTGTGGTACCAGGATGATCACCATGTATATTATATGCCTAATTAACATGACATGTAACTAACATCGTTCGTGGTACAGTGATCAGACTGTTTCATTCTTAATTAGAGGCCTAGATCAGTAGAGTATGAGCCCTAGTATGGAGAAAATTCTATTGGGAGTGTTACTTCAGAATACTACAGTGCGCGATTTTAGTTTAGTCGATACTCTAATACAAACTCCAAATACCGAATGATAAAAAAAAAACATGACATGTATGTTAGTTAGCCTATTTATTGGGACTATATATAATAGGTGCATGCATGTCACAAACTAGCAATATTACACAGCTGTAATTTGGACCACGTTTTTATGCCTTGCCTTGGTACATTTTGTCACCTATTTAACAGAAAAAAGAAAAATATGGAACCTTATGCACTATAATGGTGAAGTCACTAGACCAATTATAATAGTAACATCATAGAACTTACATTAACATAACTGAATTTTATTTAGTGAACGATAAAATGTATCCATCATGACTGATCTTACGTGTTTTTAAAGTGGATACAATTCAATTACTTTAATATGGTAATGTTAGTATTTGTTATTGTATTAGTTAGCGATCTACTTGTGTTATTATTATTGCACTAGTTTATTGTTCTTGTTACTAGCTTGTAGCCTTTTGCATTGTTGTTAGCTTCTATGTTTCTTTCTACAACAATATTTGGGATAAATATCTGAAAAATATCTCAACTTTGGCCGATATTGTTGTTACAATATCAAACTTTAATGAGGACCTATTACCCCCAGACTATTTAATTCCGTATTTTAAATATATATATATATATTTGTTCATGTGGACATAAAAAATAAGGAAAAATTACAAAAATCCCACCTTTTAGTTTACTTATTACCATTATCCCCTATAAGTTTTACAAATCTCCAAAATCCCTCATTTTCGCGCATCAGATTAGTGTATCAACGCTTATATTATTGTATCTCGCGCATCAGATTAATGTATCAGCGCTTATATTATTGTATCTCACGCATCAGATTAATGTATCAGAGCTATATAAGTGTTGATACATGCGTGAGATACAATAATATAAGCGTTGATACATTAATTTGATGCGCGAGATACAATAATATAAGCACTGATACATTAATCTGATGCGCGAGATACAATAATATAAGCGCTGATACACTAATATGATGCGCGAAAATGAGAAATTTCTGTAATTATAAACTTTTAAGGGATAAATTGTAATTTTGCCTTAAAAGTATGTGATTTCTGTAGTTTATGCATAATTATAAATAGTAATGTATCCACTAGAGCTGTCAAAATGGGCTGGCCCAACCCAATTCTAACGGGCTAGAGAGTTAAATGGGTTGGGACGGGCTGACCCTTTTAATTAAAGGGCAGATAAAATAGCAACCCAACCCAGCCCTAAGCGGGCCACGGGTTGGGACGGATTGACCCTTCAACCAAAAAAGGGACAACATTTTCCTCTTAGAAAAGATACGAACGTTGATGTCCGATGGACACGACATCAACACATACATAAATTCATTCATGAACTACACATACTTCAGTGAATATTTACAAAATAAATACATAATAGTCAAGATACAACATTCATAAAATTTATCCGAGCAAAAAAAATTACATGATCATTATTTTCATAAACAAGACAATAAAGGAGAAGTGAAAAATTAGGCATAAAAACAAAAGTAAAAGAGGTCAAAGATTCATAGTTATAATGAAGTAATGAACTTGGGCTAATAAGAAAATTTAGTTGGCTAATGACCCTAAAATGTAAAAGATATGTAAAAAATATAGTCTTGATTTTATATTGATATTTTAAAAATATTTATTAACAAAATCTTAACAAGTAAAACACTACTTAAAATATATATAATAAATATTTTTAAAATTCACAGCCCGCGGGCTGGCCTCTGAGGCTTGCGGTTGGGCCTACGAGGCCAGCAGGCCAAATGAGGTTGGGCTAAAAAGCCTTGTTCCTAAATAGGCTAAAAAAATTGAGCCCAACCCCATTTAATTCAAGGGTTGGGTTGGGCCGGCCTAGCGGACCAAGCCCATTTTGACAGCTCTAGTGTCCACGTGGGCACATGTATACCTTTAAAATACACTATTAAATAGTTCAAGGGGATAATAGGTCATCCATAAAATTTGGTATCGTAACAACACTATCAGTCAAAGTTGGAGCATTTTTCAGACCCATATCCCATAATATTTCCTTCTTTGAATTTATTACATTTGAATCAAGGATCTATCAGAAATAACCTCTCTATCTCCATCAGATAGATAATATTTGTGTACAATCTGACTCTATCTTTTACCATACCACTTGTAATATATTGAATATGTTATTATTAGTGCACATATAATTAAAGATGACAATTGAAATAAAGATTAATATTGAGTAAAAAACCATAAATCCTTACAGAAACTCCCTGATTAATACTTCATCCGTCCCATTTTATATGTCACATTTTTACTTTGCACTTGCATTAAGAAATGATGTAACTTTACCCTTCTATCCTTATTTAAATTTTTTGGAACTCAAGTTTTAATCAATGAATATGAATTAATTTATTTTGATTAATTAATTTAACCAATGAACATGAATAATTTACTTAGCTTTTCTAAGTTGATCAAATGAATATTTTCAAGGTTAACAATTCACAAGGATAAAAAGGGAAGAAAATTGTAATTTATGCATTGATTTTATGAAATGACAAATATTATGGATCAATTATTTATAAAAAGAGATGACATATAAAATGAGACGGAGTATTTTAATTGAAGAGACAATTAAATGGTAGAACCCACCGCATAGCACACAATTAGAGGAATTTCCAATGGAAAGGCCCACCTCCACCAACTAGAAATTTCCAGAGTCTTCTAGTGACTTCCTGGCAGAGTCTTCTAGTGACTTCCTGGCATAAAAAAAAGAGATTCCATCACTACTTTTTGTTGATTGTGATTAGATTATTGCATTATTTGATATTATTTTCTTATTAGTTGCTTTGTTTCTCTATTATTGTTTTCCTTTTACATTATTCTAATGTGTTATATTGGACCGGGATACTTTGGAATTAGTCTCCTTACCTCAAAAGAGATAGGGGTATGGTTTTTTGCAGATATTTTATTTTTTCTAGATTTTACTAGTAAGATTTTGTTAGGTATGTTGTTGTCGAATGTTGATAGTATATAATTTTTTGATTTATAATTTAGCCCCATACTTTTATTTCTAACCATCTAAACTCTCAGTTATCCTACAAAAAGTACTAGATTGCTTTTAAACAAAGATGTAATTTGTTAACTTTTTTTATTTTTGATTTGTCACTTTATTTCTTTGTAATTTTCAATAAAAAAAAATTATGTGAAACTTTAACAAATGATCAAATCAATAACTGAATAATTCTTGTAATTTTATAGTTATTAGTAATAAATTAAATCAATAAACTTCAATATCAAATCGAACGGACCAATGTTAGTTTTAGCGGAAAAAAGGACGGAAGAAACTTATGATCTTAAAAAAAAAGGAACTTTCATTTGGCTATTGACAACTTGTCCGTTGATCTGCAATACACATCTTACATCCAACGGACAAGCTTGTGCCACGTCAGTAAAGTCCATCTAGAAACTTCCAGTGAATTCGTGGCTTACAACAGAAGGGCTGCCACAAACAAACACGTGTCTCCTGAGATCCAACTGATCCGACGTGGCACTATTAATTTACCTGTTAATGATACGCCTCTGATTTTTCATATTATTTTATTTCTCCACTACAATTAATTTAATTTCTTTGGTAGCTTCTAGTTGCTTCTGAAACAAAAGTTCTGGAAACTTCTCTGTAGAAAATTTGTGAATTTCGATTTTTTCTGAAGAAATGAGTGAAAATGGTGGAAGAGAAGAGGAAGAGGAATTGAAAATGGAGGAAGAGAAGAAGAAGTATGAGGTGTTAATGTGGGGATATCTTCCCGGAGTATTGTCTCATAAGTCGCCGTTAACTTCTCCGGTGGAAGTTCAGTTGCCGGAGAACGGAATCGATGTTCAATCATGGAAGGATGTATGTGGAGGAGGTTGTGGTTTCGCTATGGCTATTTCAGGTTATAAGCTTAATCTTTGTATGGATTTGTGTTCATATATGAATTTTTCTAGATGTTTACAGATGTATGAATTAGAAGAAGTAGATCTCTAGATTTGTTCAATTTTGTGTTGCTAGCTATTCTATTGATATTCAGATATTGAGATCTGCGATGATGAACTTAATGAAGTTTTTGATGGTTGGTACTAATTGACAAGTATGATAACTCTTGAAGCTTCCAGAGCTTGTTCTGGAGATTGTTCTGACTTTTTTCAACAAACTTTAGTTAGTTTGACTCAGATCTTATCAATTCAGACATGAATATTTTCTCATATTAATGTAGTGGACTAAGAGAGAGTTAATGTGGAATAGCCAATTGTGAAGATTAGAATAGCGAACTGTGAAGATAAGATTCCGACCTCTGTACCTTCATTTTATTTGATAGTGTCACATTAGTTTAGGGTATGAGGCCTCAAGCAGAGGAAGATGAACAATAGCTACGGAAAAGCTTGAACTAAGCGGAAGTGTAGTAATTGGTGAATTTTTGGGTATTAGGTCAGCTTTTTGGTATATTCAGGCCTAAATCATTGCATACTATCTGAAATCTGTTACAAATCTCCTAAGGGAGTCAAACCACCTGCATAGGAGGCTTATACATCTCTGAGTTAGACTTCCATTCAGGTATTGTCACCAAAAAACCTTCCTCAATTAACACAACGGCTCTTAAAGATAAAGTAAACATGATCATGGGCCAATATCTCGGTGTTGTTGACGATATGTATGAATACTTTACCTAGCGGCACATTCTCCAGGTCTGAAGCGATTCAATACCCAACTACCAATTCCTCTTGGAACTGTTGTAGAAAATTCATACTTGCTTTTTGATGTTGCCCATCCGTAAATAGGTTCAAGCTAAGATTTTGCTCGTTAGCGTAATGATATATGTCTGCCTCTAAGCAGTGTTGTCGATAGTGAGCTTATAGTGTGCTTAAGCCCTGAAGCGAGGCTCAAAATGTGTTGAGTCACTTAATGTGGACTTTAATGTTGTCATCAAGGTTCTAAGACATACTTTTTCTTGCTAATGATCTTCTTCTGGTGACACTAAACAATTGATATATATTTTAGGGACTATTCTATACCTATTCCCAGATATAAGAGACCGTTTTTGTCATTGTCTTGCTAACTTTGCATCCTACCAAGGCTAAACTACTATTGTTTTTGAGACATCAGTTTCTACTATCACAAGAACAAAATTGTAGTTCATATAAGCACAACTTAACGAAGCATTGTATGCATCTTTGTAGAATTCGATGAAAAGACAGAAGCTATAAAAGCAAATTAAATGGTAGGAAATGCATCTGATGCAAAACAACTAATCCTTTGTCATGAATACCTATCCAATCTTAACAAAACTATTCCATTCTGGATTTTCAGTCCATTCCAATCTCATCCTATTTTATACCTTCTTAATATTTTTCATGAAAATGACATGACCCTTGATTTTTGGGTTTTAACTATGTATTATTTGATGATTTGGCAGCAGGATCTGGAAAACTAATCACGTGGGGTTCTGCAGATGATCAAGGCCAAAGCTACTTGACTTCTGGAAAACATGGGGTATGTGGCAAATCTTTCTTGTATGGACTCATTTATATAGTTTCCTTTGAATTGATTTTGCTATCTTCTTTCATTACTAAATTTATCAAGGAGACTCCAGAACCGTTTCCGCTTCCAACTGAAGATCCAATCGTGAAAGCCGCAGCTGGTTGGGCACATTGTGTATCTGTTACTGGTAATATACTCTCACCCAGTCTTTCTGGGTTGTCAGCTACCTCTTCAGCTAATTCAGAATGTTATTTGGCAGAACCTTCTATTTTCTTTTCTTATTTCTACTTGAAATATTATGAAAGACAGCAAAGACATATGGTTATGTGATATATTTCTGTACAGAAAAGAATGATGTGTACACATGGGGCTGGAAAGAATGTGTGCCTTCTTCCAAGGTTGTTGCAAATTTCGCTTCTGGAGGGAGTTTTGAAGGGGATGCTATTCGGAAAGAATCAGTGTCAACTGACCAAGGTAATGGAAGTTCAATTTCCAGATTAAACCATTTAAGAATTTGGCCAGTTCAGCTGCATGTTTATCCCTGGTGGGGTTATCTAATACTACAAGGACTAATTCTGCAGAAAGCCCTCAATCTCAAGGCTCCAAGCCAATTGGTGGTTCAGTTGCTCACCAAGATAATAAAAAACCTGAAGAAACTGCAAAGAGGAGAAGAACAATGACGGCTAAACAAGAACTTGAAAGCCCACCCCTTGCTGACGAATCTCTTTCTGCATCACCTTGTATTGTAGAACTGGATCCAGGGGTGAAGATAACCTCCGTTGCTGCTGGAGGGCGCCACACTTTAGCATTGTCAGGTAATTTCACTCCTCCATGCATGCCATAGCCTGTTACTGTCATTTTAGAAGTGGAGTCGGTTGCTTTGTGGTTACGCCATATAGTTTTGTAGGTCATATGAAGTACGAAGATATGGAAGAACTATAATGTAAAGCAAGACACCTGATGCCTCATATTTTTGCCGGATTTAGATGTGGGACAGGTATGGGGTTGGGGCTATGGAGGTGAAGGACAGCTTGGTTTAGGCTCCAGGATTAAAATTGTGGCTTCTCCTCATCTTATACCATGTCTGGATGCTTCTTCACATGATGGACCTGACCGGAGCCTTGGGAGTCAGAAACATAAAGCCTTGGGGAGCTACATAAAGAGTATTTCTTGTGGTGGTCGGCATAGTGCAGTAATCACAGGTTAGTATGGAGTTAAGTTTTAGTACTTCTCTTGAGCTCTTATTAGGGATACCTTTTTTTTTTTCAATTTAAGCTGCACAATGTGTGAAGAAAAGAAGAATGCTTTTGGAAATTTGTTAGGTTTTTAAGTTTGAATGACTTTGAGTTACTCCTTTTACAAGGGAAGTTAGACTTCATCTTAAATCATTGTCTCTACTTTTTGCATTTGAAAGTTGAGAATGATATTTCATTTGTCGTTCTGCTCAATTTTGTCTTTGTTTCAATTGTCAGATACTGGGGTGCTGCTTACATTTGGCTGGGGATTGTATGGACAGGTAAATGTTTCATATTATCACACCTGAAATGTGATGTGTGTCTTGTCCTGTTACCCTCAAAAGAATTTTTCACATGCTATTCTCTACAATTTCAGATTCACAACTAGAAACAGAGTAATGTTCCATTTCAAAGAAAAGAAATATAGAGTAATGTTGAGCTAGCTGCATCTTGCTTATAGTGTTGTGGATATATGTTTTGTTGCTAGAATTGAATGTTTGGCACTTGATAGCGTATCTTTTCACACTAGCAGACAACTGTAATGTTGTCAGATTTTGTATTAAAAAAAAAAATGATCAAAAGCACCAGTAAGTTTACACCTGCAGTTTCAACTTTGTGGTGCCTGGTTCGCAGTACACTCCTTTTCTTAATGTCAGTCCCTTAGCCTCATTCTTTGTATTCAGTGTGGACTAGGTAATACAAATGACGTGCTGAGGCCAACTTGTGTGTCTTCTCTATTGAACACTAGAATAGAAGCCGTGGCAGGTGGACTGTGGCACTCTGTGTGCTTATGTGATCATGGGCGTGTGTATACTTTTGGGGGAAATCAGTTTGGCCAATTGGGTCTAGGCACAGGCACTGACCACACAGAGGTGCGTCCAATATTTTTCACTTGTTTAATGTCTTTCCAGTTAACTTTTGTTTGTGGACTTGACAGTTCTAATGTCCAATAATAATATCTAGTTGAAGCTGAATTATCATTTCATTTAAGAGTTTGGTTAGTCGTACAATGAGATGTGCCAAGAAGTGGGATTTGATGAAATCCCAGTCCAGAAGTTATCCACCACAGTTGTAGCTTTTAAATGTACCTAGACACTTAAGGGATAAGAGATATTGTCAATTTCTGACAGCCAATTAGTTAAACCATATATTTCCCTACATATTTGCAGTTCTGCGGCTGCATTTTTGTAAACCTTCTTTGTTTGAGGGACTTAGAAACTCAACAGGAGATTTCTATTACAGACATCACCTAGACTTGTGGATGCCCCAATACTGGAGAACAAGAATGCCAAGGTTGTGTCTTGTGGAGCTCGCCATAGCGCCATAATGACAGGTAAGCGCCCAGACTCCAGACTGTCAAGAAGATGAAGTGCATTTTCAGTCCTGATCAACTGGACAAACCGAGTTCTTTTTTTATTATTATTAATTGAAGACAGCTAGGATTCACTTAGTTCAATCTTAGACATAATTATCTTATTTGTGGTGATCTGAGATGGAGATGTTCCATGCAATTGCTTATATAACTGTGACTAGTTAGTATTTGTAACTGAGATATCTTTGAAATTTTACTAGTAGTAAATATGCTTTCGACAACGAGTTTGAATATACTTGTTTCCTACCCATGTGGGTACATCATATGGTCTGTTGTTCCACTATCAAATGTGTGTTAAATCAATCAGATGCTGGTAAGAGTTGGACAATAGGAAGCCAGTAGCTTGTCAATCTGTCTATATATGTATATGTTAGTAATCTAAAGATATCCTTTGCTTTGACTTCAGATGACAGCAAAATTTATAGCTGGGGATGGAACAAGTATGGTCAGGTATGTAAAGAGATTATTACTCTTCCACAAATATTACATTTATTTATGTTTATATCAAACCTTTTTGCCTTTCTGTTCCAGCTTGGCCTAGGTGATACAATTGACCGTAATGATCCTTGTGAAGTACCCACCGATGATTGTACGCCAAAGAATGTAGCGTGTGGGTGGTGGCACACACTATTACTTGCTGAAAGCCGTCCATGATCTCTCTCCGTTATTTGGAGAATGGCTAAGTAACCCACTGACAGCAACTCTCAGGTTTACTTTCAAGATTCTGAAGATGTTAGAGCTGTAGTATTTGTTAAATCAATGTACAGCATGTTGATTGTAACATATTTTTAACTCACGTATTCTTCTCAAGTTTTATAGACTTATTTGGTGTATGATAAGCTCTTTTTCCGCTTTAAGTTTTACAAAATTCATCTTTTATGGACAATCTTGCTGGCATGTTAAAGAAAAATGTGGCAAGCTGAGAAAGGAATACCATGTAAAGCTTCAGCTTGGCCACTACAGATGGCGAAGGCTGGATCAAGGAGAAACATTTCTTTAAGAGCTGCCATATGTTTTAGTACTAACGAAAGGAAGGATTGAGCGTAAGTGCAAGGAAGAAAACTTGTTTAAACACACACTATGGCAATTTCACTTCTCAATTTAGGAAGAATTTCTTCTATTCTCTAATCACTCTGCTACTCACACATTCTTAGTTTTTTGGATGAACAAAAAAATTAGAGAGAGCAGGGAAATAGGAACTCACTCAAGCTTTCATTAATTCACATGGCTGGCTACACACTAATATCACACGTTCAAGGTGAACTACTACAGATGCTATTTGATAGATACATATTATAGAAAATACTAAATCCAGGTTCATTACAAAGCTCCCAATCGTCAAATCTCCGCATAATTCAATAAACCAACTAGATGTTGCGTGAAACAGAACTTGGCACCTGCTGTAGGAGCTGCATCAGCGGCCAGAAGATATCCAGTCTATGGAAGCTTCCTGAGGCCTGTAAACAAGTCGAAAAATATTTCAGTACAACGTATACTGTCATTTCCCTGATCTTGTTAATTAAGTTAGAAAATAACAGTACTTGAAACAATTTTGTCTTCCCCATATTATTATATCCCTAGAGTTTAACCAAAAATAAATAAATATCCCTAGAGTTGATAATTTTGTACAAGGAACCACTGAACTCAATCATATGCTACAATGGAGATCTATTCCAAGTAAAAAGGAATTAGTTTGTGAAAGGAGACTACCTCAACAATAAAGTGAGCCCAGGTGCTCTCTGAACGCTTTTCCATCACGCCCTTCAAAATAGTCAGCTCCAAACGGTGAATAACATCAGAAATTTCTAAGAAACGTCCATGGTCATCACACATCATCTGTTTGAAATTTATGTCAGCTCAAAATTTCATAATGCAGACAGATGTCAGGAGTACTCAGATTTTAGTTGTGGTGCTAGAGCAGGGAATTCTTTTATAACGCGAAAACTAGTAAGAAACTAGGACTAGTGAAGCCATATGATATACCTCTATAAGCATGTGTCCAGGGTATTCCAAATCTTTGACAATTATTGGGCATATCTGGTCCGCACTTCCCAATTCTAGAGCCCAAGAGGTTCCTTGTTGATTACTAGATTTTACTTGAGGTGACTGAAGGCTCTTGTCAGGGTCTACCTGCAGTACTTATGGATCAATCAAATTAGGACCTGACAAAATGATGGACCCGCAGAAAAAGATAGCAGAGGGTATGGTTTCGACATAACATTTTTTAGTGAAATTAGACTCGAAATGAAAAATACTTTGCAACCAAAAACCAAGTAAATAATAGATGAATATGTGAACCACGGAATGATTACCTCTATCTGAGACTGGAACTTTAGTTTATCAGCCTGATTAGTAACACTTCGCAGAAACAGCATGTGCTTTATGGTTTTATCTAGTAAACTGTCAATGCTACACTGCAGGGAGAAAACAAAAAGTTATTTTAATCCTAGGTACAAGAAAATAACCTAATAGAACTAAGGTGAAGCTAGACTTACTTTGGCACCACTAGGGACAAGTTGCCGCAATTCCTTAAGCCGGTCCTGAATTAACTGCCTATCTCGTGGTCTGGGCTTATGACTATCACCAGACCGTCTCCTTTTCTTGTTAGTATTAGATATTTTTGACTCCTTGTGACAACTCAAAGAGCTAAAGACTTTTGTCTGATGATGCCCCTCATTAAATGCACTGACAACATAATCAAATGAAGAAGCAGAATGTGGACAGTTAGTCGAAGCATATTTATCTACCCCAGCTGAAGCCGATGTAAGAGTGCTTCGTGTAACTGCCTCTCCAACCGAATCACTTTCTGCAGATTGATTTTGCCTTTTACGAGAAGGGACAGGTTTTCCTGATGACATGTTTAAGGACTCCAGACCAGCCACTTTGTGTAGTGAGTAATCATCAGAAAAACAGCAAGCACTGGCAACAACAGCTTCCAGAAGATTCTCTGTATTATCTTCTTTCAGATTCCATCCATTTGATTGCCCAAATGATGGCCCAATATTAAACGTACAATCTTCTGTATAGATGGATTTGCTAGCAATATTTGCACTAAAGCCAGACAAGTTGTGGATTGTACTTCCAAAGGCTTCGTAAAGTTCACCTTCTGTTGGGCAGCTAAAAGAATTACCTACATTTCCGAGAACAGTGTCACTGCAATCCATTCCAAGAGATCGTGGATCTAGCATGTCTCCATCAAAGTAAAAATCCACCTCATTAGAAACACCGACTCCGCCAACGTTGCAGCTAGAGTAAGAAAAGGCATCTATATCTTTTGTATGGCAAGAAGATCTACCAAAGCTGCTTTCAGTTATCCCTGATCTATTATCATCAGAATATTCATGAGCGAGTTGCTTCACTAGATTAATCATGTCCACATGTTGCATTGCAATTTCCCTTCCATTTGCATTTTCGAGAACATTTGGCATGTGTTCAACAAATTTGCTAATTATGCTTTCATTTTCATCCTCGAGGATATTTTGCATGTGCTGTCCAGATAACTGAAAGGGATGTTGAACCTCAATTAAAGAAGTCATCGGAAATGCAGCTGATAGCTTTTGTTCTATCAGAATTGGTATATCAGCAGCTACATCATCTTCATTCACCTTATTTGTGGTAGTTGCAGATGGTATATTCAAAGTCTCTGAGAGAGTTGACTGTAGAAGAAATTCACGGCTTCCTCCACCAGGTAAAAAGCTCTCCACAAATTTGTAATGGGCATCAAATTCTTCAGCCAAATTGGTAACTATCTCCATGTTTTCAGCTACCTGATTACGTGAAAGAAATACAGTATTGTGTGAATGACCGTATAAAGATACCGCTGCATGTAAGCACATCCACGATGCAAGGGATAAAAAAGTAAATGAGGCATCCTGTAGTTCTATGGCCACCCCAAACCTTAGAAATCACGACTAAAATATAATTATGAAGTTTCATATGCTGCTTAAGTTTCCATTAGACGAGCATCAGAAATAACTTTGATCACTTGGCAAAAAAAAGATCCAATGAAGTTCAGATATTGGAAATATTGTGATATCAAAAACATGACATACCATTTCCACTGATCCTAATTGAAGAACACCATAAGGAATACAAGGTACCAGCAATATAGTCTGAAAAAGAAAGATATTTTATATGGTTAATTTAAGGAATACTGTTCAAACAAGAGATGAATAAAACTGCCTCAAACCTTATGCTACACAAACTCACCTTAATGCCAGTGACAAACTGAAGCATCCACTTATCTGGACACTGCAACAAATTTCAATCAATCAATCCATCAATGATGCTTCAAGTCAAGAAATAAAATTTGAGAAATTTGTTATCCATAACTTTTGAAAAATCACTTTATTCTACATTAACAGTGGTCCAAATTAGTTATCCGTAATTCTAAAATCACTTTGTTCTACATAAACAAGAGAGGTCCAAATTAGTTATCCGTAATACTAAAAATCACTTTGTGCTACATTAACCGAAGAGGTCCAAATTAGTTAATCTTTTTATTTAACCAACTAAAGTTAAAGAAGAAAAGCTGGGCCTGCGAAGAGACCCCATTACTATAAAAAGAAATGGATAACTTTGTCCGGCTAATGGGGGGCAGAATAGCAGCATTTCATCAAGCTACATCAGTTTTGGCCCCGTTGACAGAGTGTTTTAAGTGTAACATGGGTTCATCTCAATTGAGAAAAGGGCCAAATAGTTAAGCAATAAATTACACTTCCCAGAAGCAAAGATGCCAAATTTAATATGTACCTCAGCAACAGAATCAAACCCAAGCTCTGCAGGTGCTAGACTGTCGGAAGAAATCCAGCGTGGGATGCCCGAAGATGCCACTTCACCTACCACCCTGTTTCATTTTCAACAAAAGACACATAAGGAAAACAATAAAGTTGACTCTTGATATCATACAAAAAAAGGAGATGACAACAAAAATAGCTCTCAGCTTATCAGGATCATGATTAAGTAATAAGAATGATAACGATGCAATGGAGATCCAAACTTGACCACATATCGAGGAGTAAGTCAGGCAGAAGTGGTTGCTTAATAAACCATCAAGAATAAAGAGAAAATATTTGTTTATGAATGCAGAAATTCACTAGTCAGTATGGCTTTCACTCGTCCACTGTGGTGGCATATTGAACCTGAAATGTATGCTAAGATTTATTCCATAGTTATTACCACTCTGATCTTTCCATAAGTTGGTCTTCCAGCACCAGAAAAATCTTGTACCGTCTATAAGAGAAATCATAAACCCATTTGCTTTTGACAGAGATTATGGCTAGCCCCCCTCTCTCTCTCTTCCTCCAACAAGGTGGAGCTACTTCTCTTAATTTAAAAGATGGTGCAAACTTGATAAATCTCAAAGGTTCTTAATCAAAAACACTAGCAACTTCTAAGGAGAAGCTAAGTTAGTCACATTTTCTTTTTCTTATTTTTTTGTCCTTTATGAACTAGTTTACCTGTGTTTATCCACTTGATAATGTATTCAACACTTCTTTAATCAGTAAGATACATTTAACATATTTGTTCTTCTTTAGTCTCTGTGGGAAGGGAATGCAATTCCCTTTGGAATATACACACTCGTCTATACCAAGAAAAGCAAGTTTGTTACAGTTGTTTATCAAGAGAATTTGTAGAGAACTTTTCAATCTAAGAACAATTAGTTTTTTTCTAGCTGATCTAGATCAACAAATTATTAATATTATAGAGAATTTGTTGATAGAATGGGACGTGGGGGAAAATAAGGGCACACTGGGAATGAATGCCACAAAAGCTCATGACATCGCTAGCCAGTTTCAGTCAATTTTTCTGAAGCTAATTAATAAGGAAAGCCAAACTATGCTACTATTTCAATAACAAATAG